TTATTTTACTGCAAAAGGACATAAGTGGTTGAAGGACAACGTCGTCAATTTCTACCTAAATTTTATCACACTGGACAACTCCTGTAGAGTCACACACGTAAAGTGCGACACGGAGAATGGAACCGTAAGTAGAAAGGAAAAGGTCGCATTCCTAAGATATTGATATGAAGATCGTTTTTTTCTTTGCTAAACTTTTCGATAGTGAAATGAGGTACCGAGAGCGAGAGGTGCAGAATTGGTACAAATACGTTATAATAAGCGACATGGACTTGATCATCGCGCCTTTCCATTGTGCACACAACAACCACTGGAGGCTCGTAGTAGTAGATTTCAGGAGGAGGAAATTCAAATTTTACGACTTCCCCAACCTAGAGATCAAATTGGCAAGGAAAGTGACCGGCGGGTTTGCAAAGTTTCTATTTGAAAGATAAAGATCGCAAGGCAAAGAAGTGGATACGAAACCCTTCAATCACATCTTGAACGTTGAGGGCATTCTGAAACAACGCGACACGAATGAATGTGGGGTCTTCATGTTGATATATGTATTGCTATTGGCAAGGGGTCACCTTCCGCCTTTCTCTTTCGCTGTTGATGACATACCGGCAATACGGTGTCGATTGGTTGTGGACAAAGTGACTCGTGATTAGTATGTATCTGTTGTTCGATATTATGCTCACATGGAGATGTATTTGAAGTCATATGAAATAGTTTGTAAGTGGAGCAGTTTTGAGTGTGTGGCAAACATTACTCCATAGCCTTTACCCCTTACCCCTTACCTCTTATCCTTGACCCCTTATCCCTTACTTCTTATCCTTGACCCCTTATCCCTTACCTTTTTCCCCAAACCCCTAACATGTCTGCCTGTACCCCAAACCTCAATTTTGCACCCATAACCACGGTGAAAATGACAATTTTGATTTCATTCAAAAAATATAAAATGTCCGTCTTCACAAAATCATTGTTAATAGGTCGACAAAATCACATAAATGATGAGTGTTGCTGCACACACACACACACACACACACACACACACACACACACACACACACACACACA